TCAAGGTCTAAGTCAATGTCACCTCCATGAAACCATCCCCTAACCCAGGACCCCTAAGTAGAGTCAGTCTCATCTTCCTCTCTGCTTCTGTAGCCTGTGGTCTCTTCATGGTCTAGTGTGTTGGGGTGTGTTCTCTACACCAGCCTTTCCAGCTAGAGATCTTTTATTATTCTTTATAGTCCTCCATAGCCAGCTAAGACTGCATATGAATCAGTCACTTAATACGTTGGGTTGAATTGAATTTTTACTTCCAACAAGAGTAGAAATCACACTCCCAGGGTATTTACGTCTTCCCCAAGGACAAGTCTAGACCCAGAGGAGTGCAGGGTGGAAGGCTCTGTGCTCTATTGAGTGTTTGTATCCAGGCTTATACCAAGGATCTGGGGTTTCCTTCCCTTGAAGAGTCATTGTGGGTGGAGAGACAAAGAGAATTCATCTCACTTATCCATGAATAATGAATGATCTGCCACCAGGAGCACTTCTGGACCAAAACACACTATTTATTTGTCAAGGGACGCCTCAAAAACAGCATATTGGCCTCTGAGAGTTCACAGGGGCAGGAGAAAGCTGTATGGCTATGACCCAGCCATGCAACGACGTGCATTCGGCATCATTCAGCGGACTGCACCCCACACCCTGCAGTGGTAGCGAATAAGAGGATATGATTCAGAAAGCATTGGAATTTTCCCCTCTGTAACGGAACAAAGAATGGCCTGGACAGCCAATTTTTTTGCTGTGAGATTTGTGGCATGTGTGTGAGCGTTGATGATGCCTGGGTGAAGTTCCCTTTTGAGGAAGGACTTCATTTTCATTTTGTTTGTGAGGCTTAACACTCCTTGACTTTGAAGTGGACCTCTGCTTTGAGTTGCTTGTTTGCATGGGCCTGTGACCTTTGTGTATTATGCAATTCAATCATTTGTTTATGGAGATTCTCTTGAGACTCTTTCTAAACATATTCATTTTTTAAAATTGTTGTTGTTTGTTCTTTAAATAGGAAAACTCCAGAGATGAAAACCGAGCTCTGGTTCACCAGCTTTCCAATGAAAGCAGGCTCTCCATCACTGACTCCCTTTCGGAGTTTTTTGATGCACAGGAAGTTCTGTTGTCACCAAGCTCTTCAGAAAATGAGGTTTGGGCATTGTTTTCAGCTAGGTGTCTTGAAAATCTCTTTTGTGGCTTTGTTGATTAACCTTTTCAGTAAAGATCTATATGTTGTAACACTAAGCTGGGGGGGGGGGGG